AAACTTTGATGCTTGTTATCTCATAATTAGATTTTGAGACTTTAGCCTGGATTTCACAGACAGGGTCACAAATATAAAATAAAAACATTATCAAACTAAAATATAGTGAGAAAAAAAATCTGACATATTTGACCGCCACGCGGGCAGCACCAAAGGGTTAAAAATCAAGGTTCTTTTGTGGCATTGATGGCTCCAAGAACCTTTAACATCCTTGTAACCTTTCCATTAAACAATATTTTTTATAGTAGAAAAAGTTTCTTTAGATTATTAAAATGATTTTCACACTAAGAAAAAAAATTGTTCTTTTAAGAACTGTTCACTGAAAGTTTTTTTCAGAGGAACCCAAAATGGTTCTTCTATGGCATCACTGCAAAAAAACAAAAAAACTTTTGGAACACTTATTATTGTGTTGAAAGGTTCTTTGTGGAATCATAGATGCCAATAAAGAACCTTTATTTTTAACCTACTTGAGAGCTTTGGGATGTAAACTGTTTAAGAAATGAATTTATTTTGTCTCTTTCTTTAATTATAACAATTAAACGTGGGTCAAAAAAGACGAAAAAGGGTTTAAGCATAAAAACAATAAGTGTAATACTGCTTTAAATTGTTGTTGTTTTTCCCAAAAAAATGTAAAAGTTTTCCATTTAATTTAATTACAATTTTGTTTTTGTTTTTCTGAGCAAAAAATAAATATCATACATTTTTCCCCTGATTTACAGAAGAGACCCACTAAAATGTCATTCAGTGTAACAATCTTGTCAGGCATATTTACAACAAAAATCAATTTATGACATATTAAAAGACTACTTTCACCCCTAAATACTAATTAGTTGTAATTTTACATTTTTTAAATTTGCCACTATCCTAGGTTTGCCCAGTTGTCAGTAAGAACTTACTCATTTAAAACACAATACAATTTAATATGCTCCCTTATTCTTTTATATATTTTAATATGTACACGTCAGAATAAGCATGTTGTTCGAATTTTTACATAAATATTGTGTTACACTGAATGACAATGTAACATTATTTCAACCAAATTTTGACATTTTATCCTCCAAAAACTTATTTGAAACCTTAAAAGTAGACACTTTACTTACATTTAATGTGCTTTCTATGAACATAAAATCACTTTTGTAAATTTCTTTTGATGCGGACATCTTAACGTCTTTGACCCATGTACATTCAAAGACTTTAATCATGTCCATACCTTCCACGGACCACAGCACGGGGAAGTCGTAGCAGTTAGATGTGGAAGAGGAATCTGTGAAGCAGGCCCTCCACAGACTGGACCAGTACCAGCCCACTTTTATGACGTTGCTCCCACCTTGCCCTCCGATAGAGGAGATCTTCCAGCACTCCATGGCCATGGAGCAGGCGACAAAGATCCAGCCCAGAACCGCTAACAGGAAGCCCCAGATCTGCTCAGCACGGATCTTCATCTTTGCTCTGGTTAACACTCTTTTCACTGCTTCCAAGTTATCTAAACCACCTACCTCACACTTTGTTATTATTTTGTAGTCTTTCTTTTTTATCAAAACGTCGTCACTTCCAGCATCTCTTTCTCTGTTTTTTGCAGCATCAACATGTCAGTTCATGATCCGTTAAACTGTTTCTTCCTAAGACTCTGTTAGCCTGCTCTGCCAAGGACTGGCCACTAAACTCGCTTCTTTTTATGCTGATGTGAATGTATGACTCTCCATGTTCCCATGGGCCTTGTTTTTAAGTTTCTGGAGGACAGAGAGAACGCTTACCTCGGTTCTCAGCTCATATTTCATATATATAAACTTCCCATTGAGGACACACTACATGCAGGCCAGCCGTCTAGTTTTAAACTCCTTATTCGTCATTATTTGCATTTATATTTAATATAACATAGCACAGCACAGCACAGGGCTTTGTGGGAAAAGTACACTTTAGCACACTTTTACAAAGTGTACTTATGTAAATAATATACTTTAAAAGAATATACTTAAGTTCGAACTGAATTTAATGTTTTCAGCACTTAATTGCATGTTAATTGCAATTAAATCCAAATGTATTATAGTGCTTTTTGCCCCATTTAAGTAGGACTAAAGTACGTCTTTATATGTAATTTCATAATTATTTCTATTGTGTTTGAAATATGGTTACTGCCGAAAGTAATGACAGCATTTATGGTCAACTAAAATTAAGTTGGCTTGGTTTTAGCTCGTTTTAACTGGTTTTAGCTGTTTGTTTGTTTTTGCTAAATCGGCTGTTTTTTTTAGCTGTTTTTTAGCTTTTTTGCTAAATCTGTTGGCTTTTTTTTTTTTTTTGCTAAATTGACTGGTTTTAGCTGGATTTTAAGCTGTTTTATTATTATTATTATTATTATTATTGCTAAATCAGCTGGTTTTGGCTGTTTTTTTTAGCTAAACCAACTGGTTTGAGCTGGTATTTAGCTTCTTATCTTTTTGCTAAATCAGCTGGCTTTAACTGGTTTTAGCTGTTTTTTATGAACCAGCTGGTTTCAGCTGTAACATGCAAGCACCATATTATCAACATATTAAATCATGCTTGCAACATGTTTTTTTTTTTGTTTTTTGTTAAATTACCTTGGTTTATTTATTTATTTATTTTTTAGCTAAATCCGCTGGCTTTATCTGGTTTTTAGCCTTTTTTTCTAAATCAAGTGGGTTTTTTTTTTTTTTTTTGTTAAATCAGCTGTTTTTAGCTGGTTTTTCCTAAATCAGTTGGTATTAGCTGTTTTTTGTTTTTGTTTTGTTTTTTGTTAAACCAGCTGGTTTTAGCTGTTTTTTACCTTTTAAAATACTAAATTAAAACTTAACTGTTTCAAACTGAAAACCTTCAGATTTCAAGCTTTTAAAACTACTTCAAACTCTCTGGGTCGGCTTTTTCAAGCCAACTTCAACATTTATCTACAAACTTTTTTATCTAGTTTCTATTGAAACCTGTATGTCTTATATTTAAAATAGGTTTGTAATTGCACATTTGTAATGATGAAGCTGCATTTTAGTAAATATATTAACTTTAAATTAAATATTTAATAACAAACCACAGTTAAATGACACTCTCAGAAATAAAGGTACAAAAGCTGTCACTGGGGCGGTACTTCTTCAAAAGGTACATGTTTGTACCTAATGGGTTCAGTTTGGTACCTTAAAGATACATATTAGTACTTAAAGTGTACATATTAGAACCTAATAGGTACAAAAGTGTACCTTTTGAAAAGGTACCACCCCAGTGACAGCTTTCTTAATTTCTGAGAGTGTATATTCAAGTACTTTACATGTGCTTAGTCAACACATCAAGATAAGTGTACTTCTTTAAAGCACGACAAAAGATTATTAAAACATAATGATTTGAAAAATATACTTAAAGTAAAACTTTTAATGTGACATTATTACAAAGTGCGGTTTTTAAAAGGGTATTTAAGTGTGCTACATGAAAGTATATTCTTTGTAAGTACACTTAGTGGCCCTTTTTTCATTAATGTTTTATCTGCAAGTGCAGTTTAAAAAATATATACTTTTAAAATTTCAAGTACACCATAAGTGTGCATTCAGTACAGTTAAGCGCACTTCTTTTTCACTGGAGGGTGCATAGGTACCGTTCAGGGCCGTTTTCAAAAGGGCCTTTATTTTTCCAGATAATAACCTCAGGGTTCATAGCATTATTAATTTCATAAAAGTGTGTGTGTTCGAGTATGTGCATGTGTGTTCGATTGACTTAATTAAGACAGTGTTATCAGGTGTGTGTGTGTGTGTGTGTGTGTGTGTGTGTGTGTGTGTGTGTGTGTGTGTGGGGTATTGCCCAACAACAATTATAACACCAGTCCCAATTCCGCCGGATAACAGCATCTTTAGTTACGTATGCTGGCGTTATAATAGTGTGTGTGTGTGTGTGTGTGTGTGTGTGTGTGTGTGTGTGTGTGCGGTAATATCCCAGAGCCAGCGTTTGATGTTGCGTTATGAACTTTGGTCAGGTTTAGTAGGTCTTGCTTGCAGTGGTATGGCGATGAACAACTGGGGTATGGCGGGGGAGGCTAGGGTATGGTATGGTATGGCATTTCATCTGATGAAGCCAGGACTGGAATTTGAATTTCACCTTTGTTTGCTGAAAGAGTCTCAGCCATTGTCTGAATGTCTCTTTAGAAATAGTGCCTCACCTCTTACTAAGACTCTTTATCTTCAGTGGCAGGGATAGTAAGAGATGTCCTTTCTTGTTTGTCTAAAACAAGACCATGATGCCCTCTGCTGGCCATTTTTTACATTCAGTCACTCCTGATGAAGGTCGAGTTGTTTAATTTGTAGTACTTGCTACATTTGAAATTTGAACAAATCTGTAAGCCCAAGTATTCAGATTTGGTGCATAAATTCTCCTTCACTATTTCTAGTACAGACATGAATGATACCTCAAATTTTACGTAGCCTTGAGTGAGGAAGCTGTATCATTTCTTTTCGATGAAATCAAACAGAAAAACTGGTGAAAATCCCATAAACTTGAATTGAAGAAGTGACCCAGCCATGTCTTAAGATCAGAATATAACAGAAACTTAGTAAGCAACCATCCAGTAACGCCCACATAGTAAATTGCTAACTGCAATTTTAAAAGATGTGGAGAAAAGATTTTCACAAAACCTGTGAAGAACATGTCCAGGTCACATTTAACCCCCAAATCAAAAGAATAAAAAGAAAATCATTAATTATGGAGTATAAAGGAAATGAAACCTTTGCAGGACCATTACAGTCTACTGGTTAGTTCTAAAAAGTCTAAAAAGTCAAAGTCTATAGTGAGCAAATAAAATTATTTGCTTAAATTAAAATAAAATAATAGAATAAAATTGAATAATTAAATACACACACACACACACACACACATATATATATATATATATATATATATATATATATGAAAACACAACAAAGCCCCTATAGATATAAAATGGTTTGTGTTTTGTTATTTTTTTCCCGTTTTTGAAGTCTCTTATGCTCACCAAGGCAGATTTATCTGTTTAAAAATACAGTAAAACAGTAATATTGTGACATTTTTAAATGTAATTCATTCCTTTGATGCAAATCTTAATTTTTAGCATTCATTACTCCAGTCTTCAGTGTCATGTGATCCTTCAGAAATCAATGCTGATTTGGTGCATTATTATTGTTGCATCCCATATTGTTTTGGGAGGGATGTTATCCTCATTATTATTAACAGTTGTGCTGCTTAGCATTTTTGTGCAAACCGTGATACATTATTTATCATTTATTATTCTTTGATGAACAGAAAGTTCAAAAGAACAGCAATTATTTGAAATAGAAACGTTTGTAACATTATAAATGTCTACACTTTTGATCCATTTAATGCAGTCTTTTTATGGTGTATGTAAATGTTCATTTGTCTGTGGTCTCTGGATTAATACAAATCCCCCAAATTTTGAACCACAGTCCAAGACAAAATGACAATGATGCACTTTATTATGTCATAAAATACTTTAAAACCTTCTTATAAAAAGCACAGAGAAACTGAACACTTGTTTAAGGAAGAATCAAGAAGATTCTGCCAGCCTGCAGTGGCCCACGGAAGCGCTAAAAACCGGGGTCAGAGTCTAGAGTTTCCACTGATCAGGAGGTGAAGAGAGACTCCAGGACCAGAGCAATATGTGAGCTCCGACTCAATTTCCGAATCGAGACAGCTTGTTCCTGTGGTCAGTGGAGCGCAGCTGTTCTCCCTGTCTTCTCTGTCATCGGTTCACCTGACTTCATTCAACGTCCCAAGTGAAGAAATCTGGCAATTCTATCACATTGGCAGACCTGGAAAGCTTGCTTGAGGTCTCTTAGGCAATATGTGTTTTCCTGACAAAAAAATTCTATGTTGCAATATATTGTTTATAGGCATATCTCATCAAAATAATCTCTGAAAATAGAAATCTCTGATTGACTCAGATAGGATATATATTTATAATATATAACATTTACCTCTGTGCAGTCTTCTCAATGCCTCAAATGATGAAAGCAGCCTTAAGCAACGTGATCTCATGTTCTCCATTCAAGGATTTGTTTGATAGTTGGCTTTATACAGTGTATGCTTGTTGGCCTTCACTTGTTATTATTTTCAGTTTTACAGTCAAACATATGCATTCCTCCCAAACTGCCTGCCAGAGAAGCTCTGTTCTGGAGGGTCTTTCTGAGGAGTCTCGGGGTTTCTGCCCATCTTTGTGATCTTGGTTCGTGTTGATATGAAGGACGTGGCGCCGTTGTAGGAGTACTCCCTGTCAGAGAGGAGAATGATTTCAACCCATTACAGCCATTGTTGGTATTGTTAAGTAAAACTATTAAAAACCATTTTGGTGTTTGAAGCTAAAGCTAAAATAAAATAAATATTAGTGAAAAATTTAAACTTGAAAACTTTAAACCTAAAAAAAAACAAACAGAAAAAATAAGTTGAAATAGTATTAAAACTA